GTATAAACAGGAAGAAACAGATTTGAGGAATAGCCTTTGAAGATCTTACTATAACTGAGCACATGCGTGTTCTAGTAAAAATACTCTAGAAGTCAGAGTTTCCTCCAAACGTGGCATGATTTGTGTCGTTCCTGAGGTATGCTGGATTTTCTTTGTGTCTTGAAAATGAATTATGTCATTGTGGTGTTTCCCTTGAGAGGGGAGTGCACAGTTTCAAACCCATTCCCCTTGCAAGAACACACGAGGTAGTCACCTTGTGTTCCTGGCCTTTTATCTTCATACGCTGTGTTGTAAGGAAGAACTTGACCACCAGCAGCTGCCTTAGTTTAGTAGCAGTTAGACAGTAGGTCTCGACAGCATTATGACATGGGGTTTGTGTAGTCAAAATGCTCTGCCTAGATAGTTACTGTGACTGTTTTTGAAAACTAATTTGTTGCTCTCGCTGTATCTGTGCTGTTCTATATGCTTTCCAGTTTAAGTAAGGGATATTGGGACAGCAAATACCGTAAAACTTCAAAACTGAAAATATAAGGTGTGGTTAACTTCACTGATTCAGTAAGCCTGAAAAAAGAACTGGCCTCATTAATGAATATGTATTTAGCACCTTTGAGGATTGGCACAGATGCTGTAACTTTGGCCATGAATGTTGCAGGGCTTCAGCTGTATGACACGTCTGTAGTCCCTGAAGCAGCATTCCACCAGCGCTTCCAACTGGGTAAGGAGAGAGTAAAAATAGCAATGGTAAACTTTCCATCTGTATCACGCAAAGCTGAAGCCGGGGGGGCGGAATCAGTATCTCATGCTCATAATTAAAGATGCTGTATGATAATACATGGTTTGTACATAGTGCTGTCAGCCAGAAAGCATTAAGTCCTTTACAAGGGCAATTGATGGCATCGTCTGTGTTGTATGAGGAGGGACATGGCCTAAGCCACAACCATACAGCGAAGCAGACTGAACTAGAAGTAATTGTGCCCCGTCCTCCTTTGCTGTACTCAGCAATATTCCCCATCTCCTCTGTCCCACTGGCCCGTTGGTCTGGCTGAGGTCTCTTATTACTCTGTGCAGGAGTAAGTAGAAGAGTCTGGGGTGTGGATTCTTAATAGCCAACTTCTGTGCACCATAGTTTGTGCTAGCATAAGGAGACCAGAATTGCTAGTAAACCTAATTTGTATAAATTGAGGTAGTAACAC